AGTGATCCCTTTTACTCGCGAACAGTACATTTGTATTTTGTCACGAGGATGTTGTATCGAGCTTATAAATGTAATAAATCCCGCGGGAGGATCTTATTATTGACGATTGTGAGCGAGGTGAATCACAAGTATGCTTTATCCGAACATATTGTACATTCGAATTTTTCATTCACAAAAGGACTGTGTCCGTCTTAACACGGAGATAAATCGTTCGGTCCAGTACGGTCCAGTTTTATGTTGCCGCGGTAAAATCTGTCAGTTACTACGCGGACAGCCTATACGATTTCGTTAAGAGTACTAATCGCCATTCGCTGGGTTATCCTGCCGAATCTGCAAATTATTCTGCTGGGGGAACAACTTGGTGAATATAGGAAAACACAGTTTTGTTCTAACAGCAAATTAACGTATCCTAAGGACGAATTCACTCGGCAGAATATTTTCTATCCTGGTAATAAAACTGTTTCTGCTCCGATTATGAATTCGCTAATTTGGTTATGCCAACTAAATTTGACCGTCGCAATGAATATGCAAAAGCAGCGAGATACGGTTTCTATACAATAGCAAATTCTTTTTGCATTTCAACTGACGAAAAATACTGCTGAAGCCAGAGACACGATTTGTCCGGCTTTTGGCGCAGTGAGTCAAACAGCTCGTATAAAATAATATCAGAGGTTTCGAGAAGATTTCAAACAAGTCTGTGTCTCCACGACAACGCTCGACCTCACTTCGACAAAAGGGACAAAAGACGCCATTTTTAACACAGGCTGGGAAGTTGCACCGCACTCAATTTATCCTCCTCGCCCTTTCAGATTTTCATCCGTTTCAGTCATTGTAACATTATTTTCAACCGACACGCATTTTAAAACCACAGAGAGCATTCGAAAATATATTCACGATTTTATTAATTGAAAACCGTCAGGTTTCTATCGCGATGGAATTCGACAGCTGTCCGATAGATGGTCATCGATGTGTGATAACAGAAATTATTCTGATAATTAAAATCGTACAGCTTCCATTGATAAATAAATCTTGATTTTTGGTAATGAGGAAAGCACCGGATTAATTTACACGTTTAACATTCAAGGCATTCGAATGAACAAAGCCAGTGAAATTTCAGATATAACAAAAATACGAACCTCATTTAATACACTAGAGAAGCGGCCTTCGGATAAGGGGGGGAGAGGGCGGAATTTGTAAAAACTATCGCTCGCTCGCCCGTGAAAATTTTTCATACATTTCCCGCTGATACGTTTATAACGTTCCCCGCGGATTTATTCTCGCGAAGTCGCCGAGTCGTCGGCAAAACGAAAACGTCGCTCCTATAATTTTGATTGAGCCGTCGGCCGGATATGATATATCCAGTGCCCGCAGTGCGTCCAGCACTCCTTCCGCGCGCGCGGTAATCCTCGAAAGGACTCTGCCTCTCGACGTGTGCGGGATTATGCCATCTGCCTTTGACTTTTTGTTCGGAGATCGAGATACGGGGAATGAGACACACGAGGCTGCCGAGACGTGTCTATGTGCGTCTCCGCCAGCTGCCGCCGTGAGAGATACCCACGTTCGGGCACGTACGTCGTGATTTCTTCAGCGCTTCGTGGATCACGGGCGTGGCGTAACACGTCAGGCTGGATTATCCGAGTTTCCGCGGGTCGCTACGGGCGATCGCGAACAATTCGCGTTAAATAGAACGCGCACGGATCCCGTCGCCGAGAGAGAGTCGCCACGGGTTTTTGCAGCTGTGCGCGCGCTCCTCTCTACCGGCATTTCACAATTTCATAATCAACTAATTAATGAGGGAAGCCGAGAAAGAGACCTGTGTATGTGGGTGTGACAAATCGATCGTTTAAATCATAATATTAATTAGTTTAATAATAAACCAATGATTTATTCATAGAATCGTTCCAGTCGTATTTACGTCATCGCGGCGAAAGCCCTCGTGTGCTCCTTTAATGTAATCATAAAACTTGGGAACGCGGATAGTCGCGATAAAGTTCAAATTCCCCCTCTCTATTTCCCTCCTCGCCCGCGCGATCTCTTTTAACGTTCGACCGTAAATGTCGTGGTGGATAACTCTCGAATTCAAATTTTATCGGGCTAAAGGCCACTTTGACGGATAACGAATGGGCTTCTGTGCGCACGTACGTTTTGCAACCGTGAAGCCCGACCCGTTACAATCTTTTACGACCCGCACGAGAAGCTATCAACGAGCCCGACTCCTGTTGCGGGAAAATCAATCGTCGCGGATTGATCGGGAGAAATATACAAATAAAATTCGGCACACATGCATGAGGTTTTAGTGAACCGTGCCAATAAAAGCCGTTAGCTGATATTTGCTTGCTGGCTCGCCGACGTTCCCGATGAAAAATTCTCGCCTTTTCCCGCGCATGACCTCTCCGCGCTCAAACTCTCCGATTGTAAAAAACGAGAAAAAAGGAAGCAGAAGAAAGAGAGGGGGAAGGGAGAAAGCACGCCGATCCGCCCCCGCGGGCGACTACACAGTTCGCGGCTTCCCTCTCCGGAGGATATGACGTCATCCCTCGCGCCGCCGGCGGCGATAAATGGAAAATAAAAGGAGAATCGCCCTCGCGAACGCCCTTGTCCGAGCGGGCAGCAGCCCCGCGAATAAATCACGATCGAATTGTTCCCCGTGTAAGAGAGGGATCCCCGACCCTGAACGTCATGCAGGTCCCCGCCGGAAATTAGAATAACTCAGTCAACGAGATGAGCGAGAGGGAGAGCAGCGCATCTTCCCTCGGGCGTTCGCGGAGGAGCGTGTCCAACCGCATCCATTTGTTATTAACTGCGATCCACGAGTCGTGACAATTGCCAGTTCGGTCGCGGGGAAATACGCAGTTCTCGGCAGAAGTACGGGAGGATATCAATCGCGCCGAACCGGTCGGCGTTTCCACGTGAAGAGACGCTCAGGGAATATCTCGAACAGCTCGTTATCCCTATTCCTGGAAGGTCCCGTGATTCGCAATTAATTCGCTAAATTAGTCGTCCCTCTTAATGGGCTCGATGGATTCGGTTAAACTCTTAGCGGCTTGAAGTTGCCCCGTATGCCAGTTCGGCACAGGTGGATGCAGCGTGATATTATTTAATCACCACGTTTCGCGAAGCGATATCGGAGTATAACATCGCGCGACATATTTCCGGCGGCGAGTGGCCTGATCTTCGTTTTTCCTAGTAATGAAGCTTGAAAACAGCAAGCATCCACCGGTCGAACAAAGGGAAAAAATCAAATGTCAAATAAAACGTGTCCAAATAAAAAAAATTAGTTCCGTTACGTGCGCGCCGTACCATGTCGCGCGCGCTCCTCGCCCCGCCTCGTCTCGCCGTCAAGCCGGTCGGCCAGATTTTCACCGGGCGCGCGTGCGCGCAGTTCCCCTCGATTTTCCAAAATACCTCCGACCGACGACGAGAACGAGGACGTAATTTCATTTCGCGTCAAATCCATCGGTCCTTTCGCCCATTCACTCCGACCCGCCGGCGTTTGCACTCTACGGGGTGATCCGTCATTACCGAATGCCTCCCCAGCGGCACGCGATCCCGAGCTAGACGATGACATCCCCGTCGCATACGTTGACGAAATCGTCCGAAGTTGAACGTCAAGTTTGCTATTCGAGAGACCAAGTGTTCCGGTGATGCGTGAGCTTTGTAGGTGTAAGCGGGTAATGAAGGTCTGCTCTTCCCGTTAACTCTAACTGGACTTTGCGTTCGGGTTTGAGAAAAAACATTTATCGATACGAGATGGCTGTTAATTTTGGCACGATTTCATCAGCGGAACAATCATGCTTCACGCAACATTGCTCCGTTACATCTGGAAATTACACCATATGTTTATAGACCATTGATGATATGTATACAATATTTGTAATTTAACCGTTGAAGAGGATCCGACCGATCGATACGTTCGGCAATATATTATTATGATATACACAAAAGGTGGTACATCACGTGTAAAGATCATTTTATTTAAATCCTTGTCGCATTATGATGTCCGTTCATAGGCTCTTAATGGCCATTTTACTCCCTTTGATTGATATAAATCTGGCTATAATTTTTTAATTGGAAAATTGCGGGATGAGATTTATAATTTTAAAAGCTTGAAAAAAACCCCTTTTTTTTTCGTTTTTTCGCAAACTTTTTCGATTTATTTTCGCGGAAAAAATTTAAAAAAAAGCGATTTATTTAAAAGAAATTAGGTAGAAAGTCTTTTAGTGAATTGCAGATCCAGTGAAATTCTAATAAGCGAAGGAGAGCATCACGCACGAGGCGTATCAGGACACCCTGTATAGACATCGCCCAAGTTTATCCGCGGGCATAGCCCCGAAAACTCATTTCCACCGTTGGTGGTAACGCTTCGTTAGCGGCGACGCTGCAACTATACAGGGTGTCCGTTTCATGGTAGCCCTCTTTATTTGCTAAACGGTTAGTCGTGGGATAAAAGTTCTTTTTGCGACGGTGAATAATTCGACTGCAGCCGTCGAATGGATATATTCGTTTCGCGATGATTCACCGTATTTTCACGGAGTTGAAACGGACGTATCCAGCGCACGAGGAAAACAACGTTGCTAGTTTCGCGGCGCGGCGAACGCGAAATTACGATAAAGTCTGAAGAGATAATTCTATAATAATAGTAACAAATGAAATAAAGTTTATTCTCGCTCGCGCGTGCGGGTGAATTTAACGCGTGGGCGAGGCGATTAATAGACTCGGTTCCGCGAGTTCGAGAACTGCCGATAAAACCTCCGCCGCGTCACGAAACGCTTTGAGGCGAAACGAAACGGAGTGCTCGGCCGTTTCGGTTAGAATGGCCCAGATTGGTAGGTCCGAGCAACTCGCTCGCAGTCGGAAAACACCAGCGTGGGATACTTTTACATTTACTTTTACATTTTGTTGCTTGTTCGAAACTGCTATCCTTCCAATCGGCGAGGGAGTTCGCAAGTTCCGAGGCTGTGTGTACAGACAACTCAACGGTGCCGTCCTTCGTGTTTCAGGTCCGCCCGGTGAGCCAGGTCCACCCGGCAAGCGGGGCAAGAAAGGGAAGAAGGGCGACCCCGGGGAACCCGGCGCGCCGGTGAGTACTCTCCGTGCCGATGCTCGGTATCGCCGGCACGCCGTATATATGATATCGCACACGTACATACCCTCCGGTAGAGAGTAGTGCACCCCGATATACTTCGCACGTGCAGTTGTGTGTGCGAGTGTGTTTATTAGGGAGTCCCAGCAGCTCCGTGCATGAAGTAGTTTAACGGTATACCCGATATATATATATATATATATATATATATATAATACCTACGTCCCCTTCTCTGGACGCGAGACTGACGAGTACACGTGGCGACTAACGTAAGCACGCGCACTCCTCGCGGGAGACACGCGCACGCACACACGTGGTGAGGAAAGTTGAAGTCGTGTCTGTGAAAACGGCATGAGATTAGATTTGAATGGAGGAAGAGCATCAGAGCCGACGTGCCGTTTTATTTTCGGGCTATTGTGGAAAGTATAAAATTAAAGTGTACGTGCATGGATGCAGAATAGATATTCTTCTCTGTCAAAATGTATGAATTTTATGAAAATTGTCGCATATAGAAATGATCGAAAAATAAAAGCAGTGTAACCAGATTATTTTGTACATTTCTTGCGCATCTTTACGTGCTATTTTTAACCTTACGTATCTTTTTAAATTTGGGAAATTTTACGATGAGTGTTGCATTTTTTGTGAAAAGGGATCCCTCGACTTCTTCTCGACCGTCTGAAACAGACAAGAAAAACGAAGGAAAATCAGTCGCCGGTAGAATAGAAACTCTTCAGCTCCAGCTACTGTAGACGAAATTCTTGTATTGTCCGGAAGGGTTTAGTACTTGACAGAGCCAAGAAATATGGGCGTGTCGGTTTGTCACACCTCATGTCAGTCTTCATGCTTTTTCTCCAATAAGTCAAGCGCCGTCCCATTGTATTAATCGTGACGTATGCGTTAGAAACATTATTCCGTTCAATCTCACAAAATTTCGTCGAGATTTTCGACTATTTTTACGGATGCGATCGAGCCGATAGTTTTTTTTTTTTTTCAGAGAGCGTATTCGCGTTGGAAAAAAATTCAAGTTTTCGACAAGGAGAATAAAGATCTCGTTTGAATCGTGTTTTTCTCTCAACCGTCTCTTCTTTGATTCTCCCTCAGAGAAAAATACCGAACGAATGGAAAGTCGATCGTGGCGGTGCAACGTCGTTACCGGTAAAGCGAAAAGGGCTTAAATAATTAGCAACAAAGTTAGCTGCATTTTGATTTCATTATCAAGTCCGACAGAGAATAAGAGAGAAAGAGAGAGAGAGAGGGCCGGTAATTATCTCCCGAAATAACCAATTCATAATTTCGTAATTATTATTCGCGCGCGCATTTTTCATTATGCAGCGGCTTGATTAAACTCCCCGGAATAGGAGATCACCGGTTATAAATACAGATCTTATGCTATTAATCTTTTATACTATGTTATTACTTACTTATACTTAATCACGTTATACTCTATTTGCCGACTCGGCGTCGGGATTTTCTACCTTTCACGAGAGCCACCGCGTTCGTTTTTCGCCGCCAGCGTCGTGGGTGTTCTCCGGCGGGGCGCGATCGGATTTCCCTCGCGATTGGCGATCGTGCGCGAGTGCATCGTCGTACGTAATCAAAGATCGGATCGCCGGGACGAGGAGAGGAGGGATTGATACCGAGGGGCGAGAAAGAAAGAGAGAGAGAGAGAGCTCCGAGCGAGTCCGTGTGTGCGCGCACGTGCGTCCGTGTATGCGTGCGCGCGTGCTTATACGCCCGTGGAATATCTAATTGGCCGGAATAATTATCGACGGCGGTGTGTACGGGTCCTTAACGTATATCGGGCCCGTCGTATACACACATCGGAGGACCGATAATATCGCGGGCACGATCGGCCCGCGGAATAATCGCTTTTGCATGCGCGCGAGAGAGTACCCTGTAACCCCCCTCTACCCTCTGCCCCTCCGTCCCCCCCTCCTGCCTCGTGTAAACGAGTTTTTAATTTTTTATACCCCTTCTTACAGGGTGTGGCCGGGACGCCGGGCAAGAACGGTTTTCCGGTATATTATTTTTTATTTTCTTTCCACTCCTCTCACTTCTCTCTGTGTATGTCGCTCTCTCTCTCTCTCTCTTTCTCTTTCCTTCTCTCTCTTTCTCTCTGTCATATTTTGTCACGCACTCTTTCTCTCTTTTTCTTTCGGTCCGTTTTTTTTCTCTTTTCTGTCTGTCTGTCTGTCTGTCTTTCTATCTTTTCTTTCTGTCTGTCTCGTTCTCGAACACCACGACTCTCACCACACTGCTTCTCGTACATAACAGCCATTAAGTGCTATTAATACATATCATGTAGCCGTTGATGTGCGATTCTACTCGTTTGGCCTGCTTCTTTCTTCGCGTTTGTGTATCTCGACCTGGATCCTCTTCCGGCTCGATATAGCAGTGTCCATGTAGATGATTTTTTTTTTCTTTTCCTTTTGTACTGTGTATCAGTGCGATCCGTATCAGTGTGATGGAGGCGCGAAATCGGACTCGCGGCATCCGCTTGCGAACACGCTGCGTCGCCTTCGACGACTGACGGCGCAACTCCGGTATACGCGGCATCGCGGAAACGGATTAATTGCATTTTCCGCTTGTCGCGAGTATCCTCCTCGCGTTAATTGCTGGCAACCCTGAGCCGCCTATCAACGTTCCTGATTCTCTTGAAATATCGAGTTATCGTTTCGATGCAGCAGCTGCAACTGCACGGTCGAATGTCGCCCTCCAAGCGGCCTAATTATGAAAAATAATATTCCAGACGATATCGAAAAAATCTTGGATAACCTCTTGGATAGTGTCTGAAAGATAAAACGTGTGGCGCATATGCGGAGAAAAGGGATATTGCTGTTGCAGCGAAATAATCGTTGCTACTGTGTGTTCGTGCATAAAATAAAATTTTCAAAACGAAGAATTCTTTATTACTTTATATAGAATTCTTTAAAAACGCATTCTGCAATTCGTGTAACATCCGTTCTATAATAAAGTCGACTTAATGAAGGAGATAATTCCACGTAATGAATATGCATTTTCATTGGTGCAAGGTGTAAAGTGAAACCAATCGTTTCTGACGATCGTGTCTGATTAATAATGATAACTACGCTATTAAAAGAGACTCGGAGAATATTTTAGCGCGGGGACAAATTGCAAATCCCGATATGAAATCGGATAAGAGATGCGAAAGCTGCCCGTCGGGAGCTCGAGGCTGCGCGAAATTGGAAATTCACGTGTGCGCCGGATCAAGTTTCTATTAACAGCGCTCTCCGTCGCGATTCCCGGTCTCTGCAAGCGTATGTACGTCGAGGATCAATCAATCATGCGAGAATGCACTTTTGTCGTGTCTGGAAGCATAACGACTCATCGCAACTCTGGTCTGCTGTTCGCGCTCGCCCGTTTACATGTTACATACACAAGGAATGAAAATCTTCAAGGGCGCGCTCAGCCCGCACAATTTTTCTCACCTTTCTCCGTTCGCCGTAGCGACGCGTGAGCGACGAGTAACACTGACTGGCGTGTTCTTTCAGGGACCCATCGGCTTGGACGGACCCAAGGGTGACCCGGTAAGTTCGGCATAATTTACATCTTAATTCGTCGCGGCGCTACACGAGAGAGCGCGCGAAATTAATCGCATCGTAAAGGCGTGAGAGAATATTTTATTCGTCACGCGGTCAGTAATCTCGTCGAGCAACGTTATTTAATAGAATAATGAATATGCGCGCGAGAAGGGGAATTTTTAATTACATACAGGACGAGACGTGTCTCGCAAGGCGAGCAACATGTTTTACCGAAACTTACGCTCTCGGTCATAAGGAATTCAATGATTTGCTCCTTTCTCTATCGAGGTCAAATGTAACGAAAATGAGTCGTTGAAGAAGTAATAAGAGGGCTGGAAATCGCGAAATATCCAGCTGGCGATAAACGAGAGGTGTCTTTTAAATATCCATTCCTTGTCGAGATGAACGCTCGATATCGGCCGTTTGTGCATATTTTAATTGGCACGGTACGAAATTAGGTACGTTATCTAGATTTCCCGTCCTACTTTCGTGCCGATGCGAAAAGAGGTCGCGTGAGACATTTCGGGAACATCTGTCTATTGCATTATTCTCAGATATACGAGAGAGAGAGAGAGAGAGAGAGAGAGAGAGAGAGAAAGAGAGGTCAGGTACGTCTTATTTAAATAGCATATCTGGCTAATTTAATTAAACAAGTAGCGCAAACTTTTCTAAAATATAGTCACGGGTGACACGAAGTCACTTCGGGAAAGACGGCGACCGAGAACGTCGCGAAACCTTTCGGAATGACGGATGTAAAGTTAATGAAACGGAAGGGGGGAGGGGGGGGAGGAAAATTTGGATATCGAGTTTCCGTCAAATGCAGCCGTTCCTAAAAGCGCGAAACTTCCAGTCTACTTCGCGTCGTATTTCAGTCGGGATCGGAATAACACGTCTAATTGGTATTTCGGGATACGGCTCTTGTCACCGCAGGATCGCGCGAGATTCGGAACGCGCGCTTCGAATATTAAAACGAGCCGTTTCGCAACGCCGGGCCGGAACTCTTTTTCTCGTCCCTTTTGTTCACAACAGCTGACATATGTTGAACGAATGAGCCGCAAAAATGCAGAATGATCAATCATACGGGCGATACACCCGGTATCGTCCCACGGTTCCGCTGGCAGACACGTGGATTTTGACGGGCGCGCGGCGGCGGCGGCGGCGGCTCACATGCAAGCGACGTGAAAACGTTATCGAAGTTTAAAATCAAATGAAACGCTACGGGGAATCGATGCAGACGTTTTTGCCGGCTTTGCCGCGAATACTTGCAAAAATACGGTTAATCGAGGTAAAGCCACTTTTCGCTTTGATCACGCGCAAATTCGAGAGCCGGCCGTATCTGCCTCTACATCGCGATACAAATAAATATTCGCGATGTACGTGGTCGGGGGAATATGTGATAGCAAATTCGCAGTTTCGTGCCTGCGTGGAAAATTCCTTCGAATCTAATTGGGAGTCCGGTTTTGCAAGATAATTTACAGACTCGGCTGTTACGCTAAAAAAAAAAGCGCTACCGTTCGAGTAATATTTATTATAATTATTTGTTCCAAATAAAATGTGTCGCTCCAATACTCTTTAGCAAATTTTTATTAAAAGTATAATTGAAATATAATTGACTATATATTTTTGTCGTATAAATAGACATTTACTTGCGTGTATCGAGAATATCAGAATGCATTTTGGAGAATATTTACTGGACAGGAAAATTGAGATTTAGAATCATTTCTTCAAGGAAAAGAAATATCGCGTAATTCTGGTAAATACTTTCTTAAATTTCAAACCATCTTACATACGCATTGAATAAAATTTATCTACAAATTAAGACGTCAGTGCGATCAAGTATTTACCACACAAGCTACTAAAATATCCTTAAATTAATCAAGATGTTACTTGATTTAAGAGATTAAAAAGCAGATAATTGCGTTTACTTGATTCCAGCGCTCTTTTTTTTTTTTCTCGCGGATCGACACTGATCTCTCTCTAGATCGCGACGAAGTGTCCCGGGGCGGAAGAAACACAGGGGGAAATCGCAGAGATTTAATCTCACACCTGCGAATACACCCACGCGGATGAGAAGGCCATCGCTGGAGGAAAGAGATCCGCAAGAGCGACAATGATATCGCTTATGCCGCGCTCGAATCGCCGCTGTCGCGCGCGCAGGCAGACAAATCGCGTCGGGTTAATTAGCGTCCGCAGATGGAAGGGATAAACTTTCGCGCGGCGAGGGAAGTTTGTCGTCGAGAATCGGCGCGAAATTTCAACCGTTACCCATAATTTACGGCCTTAATTCGCGGCGGTAGCCGGCGGGGGCCTGTCGCGCGGCGATTTATCAAGGTTATATTTTTCAGCGCGGTAACACGCGCCGGTCGAATCGGATTGGAAGATGAATCGGACTTTAAATTGAAGATTTGCTCGCTCACTTGCACACTCACTTATACTCTATTAACCGCCGCGCTGTTCGCGCGCGTGTCGAGGCGTCGAACGGCGCAGTTGCATATCCGTGCGGTCGCCCCGCGATTTTCCGTGATCTCTCAGCAGCGGCTCGTCGCCCGGACCTATTCATCACCGATCGCTATTACGCTATTACGCCTTCCTTTCACGGAAAACCGCCATCGTGAGCCGTGGATCGCGGGGAGGGGAGGACGAGACGAACGAGAACCGGTGGACGCGCCAAGTCACCACCACGCGGCGTCGTTCTCTCGCATCTCGAGCTATCATCCATAAATGTATAATAGTCATGCATAGGTAATGCGAGAGACGTCCTCTCGCGAAGGCGGAGGACGCGGTCGCACGCGCGAGCTCGCGAATATCGGACCGACAGATTGGCTATTCCGCATTCCTCGCCGTCTCGTCCGTCTTATTATCGCGTTAACGCGCGCGAGCAAGCGCGCGTCATCGCTCTCGATGTTCCTCCAGTGAGCGACGAATCCCCGCGAGCGTGTCTATTATCCGCGGGCGGAAACTCGGCGAAGTCGCTCGCGCCCACATATATATCGGAATTCACCGTTCCCTGTTTACTCACGGATCCGTCTTGACGGAGATCCTTGCATGCGTGCTCGCGCAACGCTCGTGGTTGCGCGCAGCCCCTGTATATGCATAACCTTCCCCTCCCCCTCTCTCTCTCTCTCTCTCGGTTATGCGAGGACCTCGCGACACGCAGTCTTTTCGCATGACAGGCCCTTGCTGCACGCGTCGCCCCTTTGTGGCCGCCTGGTTTGCCTTTACGGTAGAACAGCCTCCGCGTCTATCCGCGTACCTGGCGGTGTGTGTGCCGCGTACATACACACGTTCGCCCTGCAGGACGTGAAATTACCGCTATTTCGCTCTTTCTCCCGTTTCTCAAAGATAGGTGATAAATCAAGGCGCATTAACGGTTCTCGAGGTACGATCGGCCAACGGACGTTATTCTCTAATTAAACTCGAGTATTTAAACAAGCCCCGAGCTGTTGTTCAAATATCTTGGGAAAACCGACCGAAGCTCTCGCGTGTTTGTTTGTCTCGCTCGTGTGTTCGATTCATCTTTTCTTCTTGATTGATTTTGCACATGACCGTATCGTGATCCGAGACTCGGGATACTCGCGATAAAAAATAAGAAGTCACGAGAGAAAAGAGAGACAGGAAGAGAGAGAGAGAGAGAGGGAGAAGCTTTAATTAAATTCTCGTTAAACAATCAATTTCGATCACGAACGAGTTTGCTAACGAAAGGTCTGGCCCGGGACACTCTGTGCACTCTGTCGCACGCTCGGATACCTGACAAACCAGGGAGAATATACACGAAAATGTGCTACGTGGGTAGGACAGTGACGTGGCTGGTCGTCGGTGGCGGTAAAGTACAAACGACAGAGCAAACAGGAGAGCGGAAGAATGTGTCTAAGCGAGCTAGCTAGAGAGAGAGAGAGATAGAAATGAAGATCGGGAGCGAGAGGACAGATAGAGGAGAAACGTAGAAAGAGACAGAGAGCAATAAGTGCATTGCAAATATCGCGACGTATTTGTTCTGTCGATGGTCGGGAAGAAAGGACCCCCGATCGACTCCTTTCGTGTTCCTCTCTTTGCCCGGCGTTTCTTTAAACGAGCGTGGCAAACGAGTGTGTATACAGTCGCGGCGACCAATACGCCCGGGCGCTATCCCGAGATTCGAATAACGAATCTCGAAGCGTTTATATCGGATTTCGTGCAAATAGTCCCGCGCGGGTTACAGGAGCTGCAATTTGCCTCGGGATATCGCGAGTTTGCCCGATGCGTCTGCGAACAAGCTCTGCGTGCCCCCCCACACTGACGCTGGAGCGAGAGAGAAAGAAAAGGGTAGCGGGAGAGCTCAATGAGGGGAATAAGGAACGAGGAATTAAAATATAGGGAATTAGGAGCGAGGAATTAAATTCCGACGTATGGACAGGCTTCAATCCGCACAATAGAGGAATAGGGAAACTAGGATTAGGAACGCTGTCGAAATTCTATTCCTCTTAACTTGTGTGCTTGCAGGGCTTCGTAGTTGGCTGAAAGTTAAAATGTTTAACGACCGTTAATGTAGGAATGGAAGGCAATTTTAATGAATCGATAATTACCAAGAAAATGATAAGAGTGTTAATGATGACATTAGAAGATTCATTCATTAGAAAATTCGTTCGTTAGAAAATATAATAAAAATGATAATGTCGTTTTAAAACATTCTTACATATTATCTTCTCTATTCCTTTTATTGTCATGAAAGAAAAATTACGAAAAATTCGAACGAATGTTTTTGAAAAATTCGCCGTACCGTCTACACATATGTTGCAGCCGAGATTGGATCGAGGTGATTGTTTGCTGGGCAACAGATCAATCGCTTCGGACCGTTTGCGTCAAGACCGAAAGATTATTGTTAACCGCAGCAACCACACAATATTAATATTGATCCGACGACACACTTTCATATTTGTACATTCTTTTTTAACATTTTAATTTTTTCTATTTAAATTGATATTGATTGCGCCGAAGAGGGTTAAAACGATGTGACCGAAACGTACGTTCTTTTTAATTTCAAATTTTTCTAGATTATCAAACGTTCACCGCCAACAACAATATTTGACTTTTAGATTTATATATTTTTTTCGAAATTTGCACGAGCGTATGCTCGTCGGACTGTCTCGTCTCGGCGAATTATTAAATCACGATCTTGGTCCTCTCGCTGAATCGCTCGAATTGAAAAGGGAAGGAAAGCTGCCGGTGCGCGCATATCCGTCATTTCATATGAAGTACAGTTTTATATACGGTCGAGCGTTCTTTTCATTCGGCGAGCGCCAGTTGCGGAGAGTAATTCTGCGCGATGCGCCATAATAGCACTCGTGCATTGATGCAACGGGCACAAATGAATACGATTAAAATGCTGTTTGTACGGTAGAACTGGGATGATTCAGCTTTTTACGACCCGCGCTTCAATCGAACACGCGACCTCGCAACTGTAACGCTATTAAATCCGATACTCGAGCGCTAGTTATGATATCTTTAACGAAATAATAACAAATTTTTAGTACAATAAAGGGGTAAATATTCTATGTAATACGTAGGTACAAAATACATAGATAAATATTTTTCCTAAATTGCCACGAAGAAATATACAAATATATTATAGTCACTTTTTACCTGAGCTGCCGTTAAATTTATAAAATATGGGCATTCTATATATATATTTTTGTCGTCTCTCTTAATAAAAATGCTCCGAAAGCGCACTTTATTATATCATTCATTCCCTTGGTTTTTCCTCGTTATGAACTGTTAAACCGTACTATGAAAAGAACTCGCTATATATTAGGTTATACAAAGATAAACCTGGGAAGATAAGAATAGGTGTTCTTTTCTTGTTTAAATAGCCTTCGTTATTCTCAGAATTTGGAAACAAAAATGTCACATTTGGCCACTATCTTGATGTCTGAGAGATCACTTTTTGTCATCTTCTCTGCCAAGAAACAATTACTATTTCACTCTTCTTTTATTCCGGTGACTGAATGGCAGCGCTCTAACAAAAGCATATTCATCATATCTCATACTATTAATTTACAAAACTTGAAATATTGTCTATATTTCTTGAATTATAATAAAATAATTTTTAACTGCCATTTTCCGTCTCAGCACGTAAACATAGAGACGGTTAAAATTCGAAAAGGATACAATTTATGATACGAAATCTGTCGACCAGTATTGGTGGCTCAGAGAGTGTTAATCTCTCACGAGTGTATTACCGGGAGGGATAATCGATGACGACGCGAAAGTAAAAGCTGACTCGCGCGCGGCCGAGCTGAACTTCTCGGTGGATTTCAGCAACGGAAAATTGTATGAAAGAAAAAGCGCACCGTCTATCTCACGAGAGCAGAATACGGTGCGGAGCACTTTCATACAAATATTCTGGACTGGGTTCTGAAGCGATTGCAGCAGAATCCTTGATTAAAGCTGGAGATGATAAGCGCCCGTGGATTCAACGCACAGAAGTCATTCCGACGTTGGGAAATCTCAGGCGCGTTAAATTGACCGAGACGAGATAGTGAAATTCCGAAAAGTAACGCAAGAAAACGAACGCGCTGCGGGGGTTCCCGGGTAGTAGGGAGGAATGTTCTCTCAGCGCGCTCGAAGGAGAGAATTCCTTGCGATTAACGATTACAGATCGAAATAACCGGGAAGGGGAGAGAGGACGTCAGATCGCGCGACGTTCATCTTGCCTTTCATAAAAAAAAAAAAGAAAACAAATTTTACCCCGTCACAATTCGTACATAATACACAGCGTGCGCTCTGTCTGTTCGCAGGGCCGACCCGGGGACAAAGGACAGAAGGGTGAACTGGGCAGCCCCGGCTTCGACGTCTTTTCCGCAGTGAAGGTATCTAGCTACGCTATCCGGCAGGAGCAAAGCAATATCCGCCGTCGCTGGCGCACACTCGTAACGCGAAAATGCGTGCCGCTCGCTCTCTCATTTCTCTCGCCCGCACCTTCTCGCCGTCCTTCGGGGAGTGTTAGAGAGAGAAAGAGAGAAAGAGCGCAATCTCGTAAAGCCCCGCGCGTGTTGCACGCGCGCGGACGACGCGGAGAGAAGAATACGGGATAAATTCTGAAGGACGGCGCGAAAGCGAGGAGGGCAGGCGAGGGGGGGGGGGGTAAGGAAGGAGCGGGACGATATTTTCATCGCGCGCGTAAAGCTGCAAATCCTATTTGCGTGGTAAAAGTGCACTCGAGCGGGGACGCCATTAACGCCTTCTCGATCGCGCCGCCGTCAGGCGTCAAAGGACGCGCGATTAATCGAATAAATTACACGGATTTCGAGACTCCCCATCCGGCTTCGGGGAAATTTCAGGTGTTGGGGCGAGAGAGGGGGGAGAGGCGAAGAAATTAATGTCGCGTCGGCGAGGCTCATTCCGGCGCGCGATCGAAGCGCGAGAAGGAGGCGGACTCTTTTGTACGTACCGAATTCTTGGAGGACGCAGCGCGTGATCGAAGAACGAGGGGAATTTTGCAGGTCGCGGGAGGAGTGTGGGCAAAGGACCCGCGGCCGCGTTTATTCGCGATAATTAAATTTCGACGGGAAGAAATAGCCGGGAGAGGGGATGAAAAATCCCAATTCGCAGCCGGGGATCCGCGCTTTTATTTAACGTCGCGTTAAATCGAGGTCGAGGACCACCGGGACCGGTGCTTCATCCCCCTCGAGCGCACTCGTGCCGATTTCTTTCCCGGTCGGACGGCGACAAAGGACGGAGAGGGACGCGTTTCCTCTCTCGGCACCTCGTCGAGGTCGAGAACAGGCGGCGCCGGCAGCTTCGTCCTGAAAGTCGAGCGGCGGCGTCCGACTGCATTGAGAGGCGCCGACGCGTACACCGGCAGACGCGTCCGGCCGTGCACATGCATATGCATATACGCTCGCGTCCAGAACAAAACCGAAGCTGCTTTCTCGATCCAGCGCAACAAGCGTGCCCCGGTGTGCGCGTATCGACCGGCGGCGCGCTCGCTGCGCGCCGACGAGCGTACCCTCGGAGTCCGGGTGCGACGGAGTCATTTACGACTAGATTATCCTTAAGGAGGAGTGTAACACAGTCGGAGAAATCGCGAGATCAGCCGGGCATTCGAAGCGTCTAAACCATCGGGCCTTCGAAATGTCCCTTGCCGTGCGACCTGCACCGGCAACAAGCTAACACGTTCGCTGCCGGACTGATTTCCCACGACTTTCCGCTCACGATACGTGAGCCGCATACACCCCCACCCCCCCTCCCCCTCCTCCCTTTCCGCGTTATTGAAACTTTTATTTATAATGTACGCACGGGGAAAAACAATTTGCTGGCACAGCACATTTTATGCTGTCGCAACAAAATCTGTCGGTTATGTGGATAGCAAAACAACTTTGTTACATAGAGAGAAAAGTGTTAGATTCAAGTAAATTATTATTCCAATGCTCCTTAGCAAGTTTTTAGTTGGGTCAATATTAACTTGATCGAAGTAAAATATTTGCCGAGTAAATTATCCGAGTAGAAAATATACTTACTCGATCCAAATCAAATTTACTCGAGGTGAAAATTTGCCAAGGGGTATTGGAATAATTATTTACTTGAATCTAGCCCTTTTTTCTGTATACGAATATTAATTACTACGCGTAGCATTATTTGAATCTACAAATTATTTTTCTGTAAGAACAAATTAGTAAATGTGCTAGTAAATGTTTTACGTGGGGCGTGTGCGTTCTATTTTCGCGGCAGCGAACGAGTTAATTAAATATTTCAGAAAAGAATTCCTTGACAAATTCCCAAATAAACAAAAAACCGGGATTTTGCTGGGAAAAAAAAAATGACGAATTGGCGAAATATCATTCATAAATAAATCCTGAATTTTTCGCAAACAACGAGGAGGAACTGAGAACTGAAAACACAATGCGTCCGCGAGACGCGAAAAGGTATCTTTCGCTTCGTCGAAATGACGGCAAATATTTATTCGAAAAAATATGTCGGGAACAAAGAGCAGCGGGAATGAACGATATTTCGCACGTTCGTTGCGAGGATGAGAAGGTAGCGAAAAATTCGAGGTGCAGCTCACGGTCGTTCACGGGTTACGCAAGAGCGAGGTGCGCGAGATCACTCCGCGAAGGATCGCGCCAGCTGGCGCGCGCGCGCGCCACTGTCATTGTCGTCGTCCGTCGCGAGGCTCATCCGCGAGAGGAACGAACGATCGGCCGCGCCGTCAAAACGCAGACGGCGGCGGACGTAAAGCGGCGAAATTGCCGGAGCCAGCCAACCCGTGAACGACGAGCTTGGAAAAAAGAAGGAAGGGAAAAAGGAAGGAAACGGGGCGCGCACCCGTCGATCTCCACCCGTCCGACTCCGCCGCACACGGCCCGTCCGTCCGTGTTGGTGAAGCGAATTTCGCGCGATCCGTTCCGCGCTCGCTCATTCTCGCACGATCGCTCGCTCGCTGCCCGTCGACGCATCATCGACCGCCAGCCAGCCAACGGAGACGACGCAGCAGAGTAAATAAATAAATCGTCTTTTCGCCTACGGGTCAATGCACAGGGATTGGGGTTAAAGAGGTCGGTGACGACGCTCCGCGGCGGGACGCTCGGCTACGCGGAAATCGTCGCCCTCAAGGTAAACCGGCCTCCTCCTCCTCGGAAGGCGCGGCACGCTTCACGGTGTGCCGCGATCCGGACGGACGTCCCTCTGCCCTCCCGCACCCATCATCGTCACCCCCTCCCTTCCCCCCACGCTGTTTCCCATCGTTCTATCACCGCTACCTCCACTACTATATCATCGCCATCACCATCGTCACCACCGACACCATCGTCGTCGCTTCTTCTCTTCTTCTTTTCACCCCCCGCCCTCCCCCCACCTGC